GACCGCGGCGCCCTTGAATAGCACCCTTTAGGCATCTTCATGAGTCGTGTCGAAGAGCCTGTTCAAAGTTTGGTGTTGCGCCGGATTGAAGTCCCACAAGGTAAACTCCTGTTGTTGGCACGGGAGTATCCGGCGAACGAGCATAACCTGGACTATGTTGACAAGCTTGAGCATCTTATCCACCATGTTCTGAATACATGACTGGAGTCCGGTCAGCTCTTTTGAATTACCCCAGGACATGCCCTTCTCTTTCCAGGAGGTGAGCCGCGTGGGGATGCCGGATCGGAACTCGGTGGCCGCTACCCATGCGGGGTCACGCGGCTCGGTGATATAGAACCACCCCGATTGCCACCCCTTTATGGTGTCCACAAAGGTGCCCTCGAGCCATGTGATGTTGGGCATCTTGCCCACCATGGCGCCTCCACACTCCGCCTGGCGGTTTCTCACTACCTTCGGCTTGACATTGAAGGTCTTCAGCCATAAGCCGAAGTGGGGCTTGATGCGGAGGAAGGCCTCGCACACGACGATAAACGCCGAAATGTTGAGGATGAAGTTTGGGGCTAGATCATGGAAATCCAGGCCATAATAAAACATGAGCCCCCGGACGAAGGGATGGAGAGGGAATCCTAGTCCGCGGAGGAAATGGGTGAGGAATACCACCCTCTCATGGGGCTTAGGGGTGGGGATGAGCTGTCCCTCATCTGGGAGCCGGTGCGCGATGTCGTCGTGGAGGTATCCGGCTCTCCTCTGTTTCTTGATGTCTCCCTCCGTGACGGAGGAGACCATCCACTTGCCTCCCACTCCGGACATGGTTGGAGAAGGTTGAGATGGAAGTGAGGACTTGGGTGCTAGAGCTCGAGTATGCGGGAGTGGATGAGTAGAGGAGGAAGAAGGCGTGGATAGAAAGGTGAATCCTTATCCCTTTATATGGGTGGACAAAATTAAACGTCCCCACTTGCCTAGTAAAACTCGCTTATCCCCCAAGCGCCGCAATTGATGGCACGGTTGGGTTACCCACGCCTGTATTGATGAGAATCCCGTAATAAGGGGACACGATCTCAGCTTTGACAAGACGTGTCGAAAAACTGCCTCGCGTTATGTGCGGGGCTGGTTAAAAGAAACGGTTCGAATAATCACCGGGCCATGACATAACGTCATGCTGTCAAAACAAGCCAGCAAATTAGATCTGCGAAAAAACATTATTCTCTCTACGGTGAAATGTGGGACTTATTTTGCAGGGTCGGACACTATCCTCGTATTCAACTTCTTCTGTAATGTATTCGGAGAAGGAACCCACCTTGCAATGTCGAAGACAACTGTGCGCCGGACTCATCGTCATCGGAGAAGGGGCTTCTGTGGGAGTCCTGGATTAGGGGGTCTCCGGACAGCCGGACTATCTCCATTGGCCGGACTGTTAGACTATGAAGATACAAGATTGAAGACTTCGTCTCGTGTCCAGATGGGACTCTACTTGGCGTGGAAGGCAAGTTAGGAAATACGTATATGGATATCTCCTCCTTTGTAACCGACCTTGTGTAACCCTAACCCTCTACGGTGTCTATATAAACTGGAGGGTTTTAGTCCGTAGGACAACAATCACAACTTACAATCATACCGTAGGCTAGCTTATAGGGTTAGGCTCTCTGATCTCGTGGTAGATCTACTCTTGTAACACCCATATCTTCAATATTAATCAAGCAGGACGTAGGGTTTTACCTCCATCAAGAGGGCCCGAACCTGGGTAAAACTTCGTGTCCCTTGCCTCCTGTTACCATCCGGCCTAGACACACAGTTCGGGACCCCCTACCCGAGATCCGCCGGTTTTGACACTGACATGGACCCTCCCGGTGGACCCCCGAAACCCTTTCGGTGGTCCCAGTACAATACCGATAAACCCCCAAACACTTCCGGCGACCGAATAAGGACTTCCATATATAAATCTTTGTCTCTGGACCATTTAGGAACTCCTCGTTACGTCCAGGATCTCATCCGGGACTCCGAACAACATTCGGTAACCACGTACAAACTTTCCCTATAACCCTAGCGTCATCGAACCTTAAGTGTGTAGACCCTACGGGTTCGGGAATCATGCAGACATGACCGAGACATCTCTCCAGCTAATAACCAACAACGGGATCTGGATACCCATGTTGGCTCCCACACGTTCCATGATGATCTCATCGGATGAACCACGATGTCGAGGATTCAATCAATCCCGTATACAATTCCCTTTGTCTACCGGTAGAGCACTTGCCCGAGATTCGATCATCGGTATACCGATACCTTGTTCAATCTCATTACGGCAAGTCTCTTTACTCGTTCCGTAACACATCATCCCGTGACCAACCCCTTAGTCACATTAAGCTCATTACGACGATGTCTTACCGAGTGGGCCCAGAGATACCTCTCCGTCATACGGAGTGACAAATCCCAGTCTCGATTCGTGCCAACCCAACAGATACTTTCGGAGATACCTGTAGTGCACCTTTATAGCCACCCAGTTACTTGTGACGTTTGGCACACCCAAAGCATTCCTACGGTATCCGGGAGTTGCACAATCTCATGGTCTAAGGAAAAGATACTTGACATTAGAAAAGCTTTAGCAGACGAACTACATGATCTTGTGCTATGCTTAGGATTGGGTCTTGTCCATTACATCATTCTCCTAATGATGTGATCCCATTAACAACGACATCCAATGTCCATGGTCAGGAAACCGTAACCATCTATTGATCAACGAGCTAGTCAACTAGAGGCTCACTAGGGACATGTTGTGGTCTATGTATTCACACATGTATTACGATTCCTGGATAACATAATTATAGCATGAACAATAGACAATTATCATGAACAAGGAAATATAATAATAACCATTTTATTATTGCCTCTAGGGCATATTTCCAACAAAATCAAGGTCGCTTTTGTGCAATAGTCGATAGGGATCTTAGTGCTTGTGCTCATGAACCAAGCATGAACTTTCTACCAAATGGTTGATCCCTTTCGCTCCGTGCCATGAACAAATCAACACTAGTGGCCAACCACGAACCACACAACAATTCATTATCCCTCAAGTTGAAACTTTCTCCCCTACCATTCTTCTTTGGGTCGGCACCGGCCTCCATCTCAAGGTCCGGCTGCTGGGATGGAGACCGTTCGAAGCTTCATCCCCATCGTATTCTCCAAGAATTGTGTTTGCACACAAACACGTCACTTTGTACCCTCGACGTCGGGGTGATGCACTGCAGGTCATGTCAAAGGAGACCCGACAGGAAGCACGATATGCAAGCAATCTGACGGACGCTTTTGTAGAGCTGAAACCCCTCACGCCTGGGAGGGACCCCGTCAGGACATGTGGCGGCTATGGGCTGCACTATGTCGACCTGATCGCCCGTAGGGCCTCAAGTTTCGTCGCCCTGCAACAAAAAGAACGAACGAAGAACGAGGAAGAAGAAAATGAAGGTAAGGGAGAAAAGGTAAAAGTGATCTATTAATTTGTCGATTGTGTGTTGTTCAACCATCCATTACCTTTCATCTATTTATGAGGCAGTTGAACTTCCCATACGAAAAAAGAACTCCAAATCCCGTCCAAAACCTTCCAAAATTAATCTAACTCGGATTTAGATAGGTCTGTGATAGCAGTTTGGTTTTTGATACCCACAGGCTACATACCACCACAGATGAAGATGCACCCAAAAGAATATTTATCTGTTTCAATGAGCCGGGCAACTTTCATGTTGAACGCTATTCGATTCGAGGCCATCTTGAGGGCTGAATCGCTCGTGCAAACTAGGTGATAACTTGCCCTACCCATGAGATATTGGTTATATGGGTGTTTGGTGCCGCGGGCCTCTTTTTACTCACGATCGGTCCACACTGCATTGGCTCTAACTTTTGCATAAGATCTCGGATTGAGATAATTCAAACATCAAAATCAATCACCTCGACGAGATGAAGACATTCCATGTAGAACACTTTTTTCATCTGAGAACTTCTTGGAGGCGTAATTAGTCAAACAGTACTCCCAATGCCAAATTTTAGCACTTCGAGTACATCTTCATCCCCAAACATCGAGGTTGTTTATTTTGACCATACGGAGATTTTTCATATTGGACACTATTTTGTTTAAGGTCATCTTAATTACGTTTTCTGGCATGCCAAAAACTTGTGTCAACACGCCCATATAAAAATAGATGATCTCACGTCATAGCTCTTGATCTCAAGTCGCCGCCACCATCATAAGAGACAAGTGAAGAGCATTGATAGTCGTCGCCACCGTCCCCAGTAAGGTGATGTCCTTCCTCTTCGCTGATGGCATCCAAAGCTGCATAAATATGAGCATTTCAAGAGATAAACAGTCGAATGCCAAGGAATGACCCAATCGATGGTCAACTTGTAAGATGTTAGGGGTTTATCATTTTCTTTTATCTGAAAGAAGGATTTAAAGGGGGCTGGCATTATTTAACAAGATGTCTTTTAAATTAAGAATTATCACTTTTTTTAAAAAAATTTAAGAATTATCACCCTTTTTCTTGAATCATACTGATGAATTTTTGAATCGAGGGACATGTAAATCACTAAGTGATCGATTCTTTCTATCGAGAAACCATGTGCCTGCTTGGAAGAGGGATACTTTTTTAGAATACCAAAACTTTACAAAGAAACACCATTATTTAGAAAAGCCCTAAATGGAGCTTCTCATTTGATACTTGCACTTTAATTCTTCCAACAAACTAAGAGAGATAATTGAAAGATTAAGTACTCCACAAGCACACCCTGATGCATGTATATGCCCAAAGTTTGTACATCTATCACATGGGACTTCCTTTCGTTCCCACTCAAGCAAAGTTACAATATAGTGGATCAAACAGATGGTCAGTACATATTAAACTGAGAGACCATCTGCTAAAATCCTCAAAAGGAAAACAACTAGTAACTACCCCACTTTGTCACACGCACCATATATTACTCCCTCCGTCCGGCGGGAGTACTAAGTTTCTTGTTCAGTTGTAGCTTGTTTCCCTTCTGAAGCTGTTACGATTTGCTTGCTTCGAGCCATCAACGGCGCCGCCGGGAGACACGAGGTTGCTCAGCGCCCTCGCTATCTGGAGCTTGACCTGCCCCCTCTTCGCCGGAGGCCGCTTCTCCTTGGCGAAGCTGCCGCTGCCGCTGCTGTTGTAGTGGTACTCGTACTCCATCGCCTTCGATCTTCTTCTTGCTCCTCCTATCTGCTTCTTTTTTGATGTGTATTGTGTGCCGTTGCCGAAGCCAAGTGCTCACTTGAGGAAGGATGAGGGTGCACGAAGGTATTTATAGGAGAATGAATGTTGCCTGCATCAGTTGGCTATACGTGTGTGCATCTTATTGTTTGTGTATCATTATATTCGGTTCTATCTTCAGGAATAAAGTGGATAAAGATTCAGATACTTGCACCTTGGCTTTTCTGCCACCTGAAAGGTGCACGCATACTGCATATATTCTTGGTTATCTGTGCTAACCAATTTTGGTCGTCCACGGTATAGTGATATAGAGAGCAAAATACAGCGTTGCTTATGAAGACACTTTGATGGGATTTCAGAGCACACCTCTCATTTCAACACTCAAGAGGCCAAAACACAGCTTGCCTTCTCCGGATATTTCTATGGAACTTGAGAGCACACCTCTCATTTTACCACTCAGAGGCCAGAAGACGATAATGAACTACACAAGGTCAGCTAGCATTTCAGTTGAAGCCCTAATCTTTTGCGGAAGAAATAGGGGTGAATTTTGGAGGTTTATGAAAGGAAAATAGAGGTTTACATGGAGTTGCCTATTTATCTCCTTCATGGAGTTTCTTCTGTTACCAAGTTGCTATTCACTAATAAAAAGGTTTACGCTAGGCCCCTAACCAGCTGCTTCACTCGTGGATAAGTTGCGAGAGGGATTTTTCTACCATGCATCGGATATACCGTTTATGTATCCACCGTTTGTCGTTGGTTTGAGATTCGTACTATGTTTTTTGGTTTTTTGATAAAAATTGTCTTGTTCCATAGTATTACATGATGTTTCGCCAGTTCTTTTTTCTTGTTTCAAACTATACCATAGGTGCACGATGAAATATTATGATACACTTGGAACAAGAAATTATATTAAGTGTATCAATAATTTTGTCAATGTGGACAGGAGAAAACGAGAAAAATTCCCTTTTGGGGGACCCGAGAACATTTCTTAATATCTTTGCGCACTGAACGTGCTAGCTGCTTTTCACTTTTTACCAGTTCAGTCGAAATATCGCCTACTATCGTACCAATACTGTGTCCATCCCCCGCAAAAAAAAGGGATAATGTATTATCCAATAAGCTCTAGAAAAAGAAGCCAATTCCATATGATCCGTTACAGTGGATAGTGGACACAAGCCACAGTCTACACGTGAAGAACGCTTACTAGTGGATATTAGTGTGACCAAAATTCCAGAATTTTCAGGTGCCAAAAGTGTATCCTTTTTCTTTCCCTTGAGAATATGCATTTGCCGACCTGCTCGGCTGATATCCCGTTTTATCCCTACATTATTAAAATGTGAATGTATTCCTTTTGACAGGTATTCCATTTTAGCATCAAGGCAGGGAAAAAAAGAACCCTTACAGGCTTCTTGGTTCAAGCAGCAAATTCATATATGATTTTTCCCTTTTTGGTGAAAAGTAGTATAAGGTTGCAGTCAGCTAACAAGAGTTGTCATACACAATCACTATATCAATACTTCAAAATTTTCAAAGAAATGTGGAGGTATTAATTAAGATGGACCTTTGAAAAGATCAGGTTCTATACTTGTCCTGAGAGAAATGGAAAAACTAATTTTAAAAGAAATAGAAAAGGAGAAATACCACCGGCCTCTGCATCAGAGTGATGCATACTGCAGCCATATAATGGTTTTGAAATTTTCTACTTTTCCCCCTTGTTTACATCTTTTTAAAGGAACACAGAACCTTGCGTCCTAGGTATGTACACAATCATTCTTTTATACAACCATTCTCTATTTACAGCTTATAGATGGCAATACTTTATCTTTTTCGTTACCCTAATCCATATTAAAGTTGAGCTTCATATTATCCAAAGAGAGGTACTATAAATTACTCCCTCCGTTTTAAAATAAGTGAACTAAAACCACAACACCTATTTTGGAACAGAGGGAGTAACAAATATCATCTTCTTTGATTGGAATCATGCAGATTTTATTTAGTACTTGAACCGACCCATTTTTTTTGGAAAAGGGGTGATTCCCCGGCCTCTGCATCAGAAAGATGCATACGGCCATCTTATTAACCAAATAAAGTAGTGTCAACATGGTTCCAAAGGTCTACACAAATAATAAAAAAGCACAGACAGCTCACACAGAGCCAATAGGGGCTAGAAACACCAACTAGCCGAGAAAAGACGCCACAACCGGCTGGCTAAAAAAATAGATAGGAAATCTAAATGCCTATCCTATTACATGACCGCCATCCAAACCGGTTGAAAATATCCCGAGCTACCATCTCCCAGCGGAAAGACCCAGTAACCAAATGCTCCCTGGCCTCCGTCTGGGTGAGTAGCGACCACAAACGGATCAGTGCCGTAGTTCGGAATATGACCTGCAAAAAATGTATACATGATATAATGTTAAAAACCAAATCATTTCTGCAAGTCCAGATAGTCCACAGCAAAGCACAAACTCCAACCCGAATATGTCTCGCTAAGTTAGGCTCAATCCCATTAAGCCATGTCCCAAATAATGCATGAACAGAATTCGGTGGATTGATACTAAAAGCAATGTGGACCGTCTGCCAAAGTACCTTGGCTAACGGGCAATCAAAAAAGAGATGTTTGATAGTCTCATCCCGATCACAGAAACTACACCTAGTAGGTCCTGTCCAATTACGCTTTATGAGGTTGTCCTTAGTTAAAATAACTTGTTTATGGACAAACCACATAAACACTTTTATTTTCAAAGGAACTTTGACATCCCAAACATGCTTGGACGTAGGAATGGAGTTTGAATTAATAACATCAATATACTTTGATTTAACCGTAAATACTCCAGACTTAGTTAGTTTCCAGCGTAATTCATCGGGTTGTTGTGAAAGCTGGACTTCCATCAGTCTCCTAACTAGATGGAGCCATTCTTCCCAACGATTGCCCGCTAGCGTTCGTCGGAACTGAATATTAAGGGGGATAGATTGAAAGACCGATGCAACGAACACCTCACGTCGTTGAGCAATACGGTATAAAGACGGATATTGGATGGCCAAGGGTGTCTCGCCAAGCCAAGTATCCTCCCAGAAACGTGTACTCGTGCCGTTTCCAATAACAAACTTCGTCCTATTAAACAACGACTGTTTGACTTTCATCAAGGCTTTCCAGAAAGGCGAATCGGTCGGCCTGACAGTAACCTGGGACAAAGTTTTTGTCTGGAGATACTTGCCGCGAAGGATTTGAGCCCACATAGCATCATTCTCTAATGAGAGCTTCCACAACCACTTGCTAAGAAGGCATTTATTCTTAACTTCTAGATTCTCAATACCTAGACCCCCTTGGTCTTTCGGTCTAAAGATGATGTCCCATTTAGCAAGCCGATATTTTCTTTTAAGCTCATCACCCTGCCAAAAGAAACGCGATCGATAGAAGTCCAGTCTCTTCCTAACACCAACTGGGACCTCAAAAAACGATAGGAGAAACATTGGCATACTCGTGAGCACCGAGCTTGCTTGGAAAACCCATGTTGATTCATTAACTGAAGCCTTTTACATCATAATAGCTTGCAGACCTAGCTTGGAGCCCCAGGTTTATTTTCAAAAACAAAAAGGTAACCCTAGGTTGGAGCTTTTTACTCTATATCTGCATTTTATCTCTTCCAAGAATGTAAGAGATTAGTTAATAAAAAAAGAATGCGAGAGATTAGGTGATTGGAAATTTTCACGTCACATTTGCAATTTTTGCCTCTTCCAAGTTGCAACAACATGAGGGATTAGATAATTGAAAGATGAGCTACTCAAACACACCATGATGTCATGCACACCCAAGGTTTGTATATCGCATTAGAGATTAAACCTCCTTTCCCACACAAGCCAAGTAACAGTGCAGTGGATCAAACAGGTTCTCCATGTAAAAACAGAGAGACCATCCTGCTACAACCATCACAAGAAAAACAACACCTTGTCGCACGCACACACCATACCCATCTACCGTAGCATTTTGTTCAGCGAAAAGGTGTGGGAGCACCCGGGAGTCCCGACTCCCCCTTATCCTGTCCGTTCAGCCATGTTAAGATTCGTGTTGTGCTCTGTCCAGCGGTAGACCTTTTGCAGTGTCAGAATAATTAGCTAGGCGATTAATCAGACAATCAGCAGCGCAACTAGGCTGTGCAGGCAGGATAGGTCACAGGTACTACTAGCACTGTGATGTGTAGGAGTTCGACACGTCTTTTCACTTGTTTGAGACGTGTTTCGGTCATGTCTACATTGTTCTCGAACCCGTAGGGTCCGCACGCTTAAGGTTTCGATGACAGTTATATTATGAGTTTATGAGTTTTGATGTACCGAAGGAGTTCGGAGTCCCAGATGAGATCGGGGACATGACGAGGAGTCTCGAAATGGTCGAGACATAAAGATCGATATATTGGATGACTATATTCGGACATCGGAAAGGTTCCGAGTGATTCGGGTATTTTTTTGGAGTACCGGAGAGTTACGGGAATACGTATTGGGCCTGATTGGGCAATACGGGAAAGAAGAAAAAGGGCCTCAAGGGTGGCCGCACCCCTCCCCTTGGTATGGTCCGAATTAGACTAGGGAAGGGGGGCGCCCCCTTCCTTCCTTCTCCTTTTCCCTTCCTCTTTTTCTATTCCATATGGGAGGTGGAATCCTACTAGGACTAGGGAGTCCTAGTAGGACTCCACACTTGGCGCGCCCCCTCCTAGGGCCGGCCTCCTCCTCCCTTGCTCCTTTATATACGGGGGCAGGGGGGCACCTCTAGACACACAAGTTGATCCTCATGATCGTTTTCTAAGCCGTGTGCGGTGCCCCCCTCCACCATAATCCTTGATAATATTGTAGCGGTGCTTAGGCGAAGCCCTGCGACGGTAGAACATCAAGATCGTCACCATGCCGTCGTGCTGACGGAACTCTTCCCCGACTCTTTGCTGGATCGGAGTCCGGGGATCGTCATCGAGCTGAACGTGTGCTAG